AAATAATATTAAAATGTTAGGAACTTGAACTTATTTTCCGTGAACTTTACCTGCAGCTTCTTGTAGTTGCAGCCAGGCTCCGGGTGGTGACGTCAGCGCACAGTGACGCTGTTTGGAAACCGGAAATAAAACCGTAGAAGAAGAAGTGCTCAGAAAGTCAACATGCAACGAGAGAAATCCAGCGGCTCAGCCGCGGCTGAAAAGTGAGATTTACAACTTTTTTATTCAGCAGTTTGTTTTATAAGTTATATTTTAAAGTCTTCAGTCATCTCAGTGTTTATTCTGATGTTCTCTCTTCTCTCATAATTATTTAAATAAGTCATAAAACGTGTTTACCCTCCTCCAGGCCCGACCGTGAAGCCGCCATCATGTCCAAATATTACGACGGAGTGGAGTTTCCTTTCTGCGACGAGTTCTCTAAATATGAGAAAATGGCTAAAATTGGACAGGGAACCTTCGGGTGAGAATCTGCTGTTCAAACATTTTACTGACAGAGAAATAAATAGCAGAAAACAAGGTGTTATGCTAGCTGCTAATGTTAGCTTCAGTTAGCTGCAGTTTAAAGCTGAATGAAAGTGACGTCATCATGTTTATTCTCAGGGAGGTGTTCAAAGCGAAACACCGGCAGACCGGCAAGAAGGTGGCTCTGAAGAAAGTTCTGATGGAGAACGAGAAAGAAGGGGTCAGAACCGAACCAGAACCAGTTTGTTTTTAACTCTGAGGTTGTATTCAGCATCGTTAGCTTATTTAACTTTATGTTTTTCTTTTGGTGGTCCTGGTCCAGTTCCCTATCACAGCTCTGAGAGAGATCAAGATCCTGCAGCTGTTAAAACATGAGAACGTGGTGAATCTGATCGAGATCTGCAGAACCAAAGGTTGGTACCAGAACCTTCGTCTGACAMGAAGGACTTGTTTTCAGGCTCTTTGATAACGATGGTTCTGGTTCTGGTTCTGGTTGTGGTTCTGAAGCCACACAGTTCAACAGGTACAAAGGCAGCATCTACCTGGTGTTTGACTTCTGTGAGCACGACCTGGCCGGGCTGCTGAGCAACGCCAACGTCAAGTTCACGCTGGCCGAGATCAAGAAGGTCATGCAGATGCTGCTCAACGGCCTGTACTACATCCACAGGAACAAGGTGAGACCAGGACCCTCTAGAGTCCTCCAGGACCCGCTAGAGTCCTCCAGGACCCGCTAACTGTCCCTTAAGACCCACTAGAGTCCTCCAGGACCCGCTAACTGTCCCTTAAGACCCGCTAGAGTCCTCCAGGACCCGCTAACTGTCCTTTAAGACCCGCTAGAGTCCTCCAGGACCCTCTAGAGTCCTCCAAGACCCTCTAGAGTCCTCCAGGACCCGCTAACTGTCCTTTAAGACCCACTAGAGTCCTCCAGGATCCGCTAGAGTCCTCCAGGACTCACTAACTGTCCTTTAAGATCCTCTAGAGTCCTCCAGAACCTGCTAAAGTCTTCCAGGACTCACTAACTGTCCTTTAAGACCCTCTAGAGTCCTCCAGGACGCGCTAACTAGGCCTGTCGCGATAGTCAATAAATCAATTAATTGCACAATAACTTTTTTTGAGGTCGGTAAAAAAAANTTTTTTTGTTGTTTTTTGCTTCTGATACAGTCAAAACCATCTGTGATAACACCAACAAGCATGCAGGAAAAAACAAGCCAGTGGAAAAACTATAAATGAGCTCAAACAGACGAAGAGTTACAGTATATCAATCTTTGGGTCTCCTGATCTATTCGCCTGTGGTTCATCTACCGATGTTCAGGACTGATGGTTGTAAAAACAAAAACATGAGACATTGTAAGGTTGGAGAGATTTTATGATTGAGTGTTTGTCACACATTTTTGAAATGGTTGTAAAAAAACACGACATTGTAAGGTTGGAGAGAATTTGTGGAGGAGTCATTGTGACACATTTTGTAAATTGTTGTAAAAAACGTCTGGGAATTTGCACACAATTTAATGTAAAAACATGGATATAATTTTGTTTTTTGCTAAATTTGTACACATTTATGAAATTTACACTACAGACTTTCATTATAGGTTAGAAAAATGGTTCGTTAAACATTTTTGTGAATTTTATAATAAAAATAGCCAAAATTTTCCTACTCGAATTTTATTTTTTTGTGMTTTTTTTGTTCACTGTGACAGTGCAATTTGTCAAAATAAAACAAACACTAAAACCATAAAGCTGAGGTTGTGCTGAAAATAATGATACCAAACATGGCAAGGTAAATAGTTTTAAAGTGAAAATATACAGTAGAAGTAAATTCAAAGTTAGTCAAAAACGGCCATTTACACCCCAGACCTCAGAGGGTTAAGAAATTAATAAAGTTTGAAATAAAAATAATAAATTTCATGATTAAATATAATATTAAAAAAATAAGTTTTAAAATGTTAGCAACTTGAACTTTTGTTATTTTCCATGAACTTTACCTGCAGGTTAAGTTTCTTTTAGTTGCAGCCAGGTTTCGGGTGGCGACGTCAGCGCTCAGTGACGCTACCGAAAATAAAACTGTAGAAGAAGAATCACTCAGAATTCAACATGCAACGAGAGAAATCCAGCGGCTCAGCCGCGGCTGAAAAGTAAGATTTACAGCTTTTTTTATTCACCAGTTTGTTTTCTAAGTTATATTTTAAAGTCTTCAGGTATCTCAGTGTTTATTCTGCAGTTCTCCCTTCTCTCATAACTATTTAAATAAAGTCATAAAACGTCTTTACCCTCCTCCAGGCCCGACCGTGAAGCCATCATGTCCAAATATTACGATGGAGTGGAGTTTCCTTTATGCGACGAGATATCTAAATATGAGAAAATGGCTAAAATCGGACAGGGAACCTTCGGGTGAGACTCTAGTGTTTAAATATTTCAGATAAATGAGTATYTCAGTATATGTCAGAGAAATAAATWACAGAAAACAAGGRTGCAGCTCCCTGGTGTTATGCTAGCTGCTAATTTCACACAATTACGTTTTTTGGACCACTTCTCCTTCCACAATTTTTGTGCTATTTCAACAATTTATATATCAAAATGTTCAGCTCCTTCTGGAGAATCCTGCTATGTCTCATGGTATTGATATCTTTTAAACTTTTTGGATTTTCAGCTTTTTTGTGCAATTTTTGCTCTCATGGGGTCTCATACATGGGAATTCCATGAAGTCTTTCAGCATTTCACTACTTTTTAAACTTTAACTACTTCAGCGTACTTGCGCCTAGAAACATCAATCAAACTTTAAACAAAACTTTAGTCTTTCAACTATTACAGAATTATTTCAGCTTTTTAAAATCTTGAACTGTTCTTGTACAATCAGCATTTGAGTTTGTGCAAGTTTTTGTTTTTTTCTTGTGTCCTGCTGTGTCTCGTAGTGATGAAATGTTCAAATCTCTGCAGCTGAGAGTTCAACTGATGTTTGTGACTGTGTGGGTTTCTGCTTGTGTATTTTCAATGTATGTTTATGCAATTACACATTCATTTGGCTTTTTACAGCTTCTGTGTACAATTTATGTCCTGTTTGTCTGTTTAAGCATTTTTTACTTCTGTACAGCCATTTATACATTAGTTTACCCCTTTAAAGTTTATTAAGACTTTTTTAAGTTTTAGTTAAGCATTTTAATGATTTGCTCAACCACCTTTGACCTATATTCAACTGTCTTATCCATTTTTTACTTATTTAAAGCAACATGAAGCCTTTTTTCAGCTTTAGCAAAGCAATTTCATGATTTCTTCAACCACTTCAACAAACTTTGATCTATTTTCAGCGGTCTTATGCTTTTTTTAACTAATTTAAGCAACATGAGGCCTTTTTAAAAGTTTTATTTAAGCCTTTTCATGACCTCTTTAAACAACTTTGACCCTTTTCATTTGTCTTATACTTTCTTTAACCAATTTAAGGCAACTTTAGGTCTGTTTTAAGTTTTATTTAAGCATTTTCATGAATTCTTCAAACATTTTTGACATTTTTTCAACTGTCTTGTGCTTTTTTAACCAATTTAAAGCAACTTTAGGCCTTTTTAAGCTTTTATTTAAGCATTTTTATGACTTCTTTAAACAACTTTGACCCTTTTTTCATTTGTCTTATGCTTTTTTAAGCAATTTAAGGCAACTTTAGYCCTTTTTAAAGTTTTATRTAAGCATTTTCATGACTTCTTCAAACAACCTTTTTTTTCAACTGTCTTATCCTTTTTTAAATCAATTTAAAGCAACATTAAGCTTTTAAGTTTTAGGTAATTGTAGCTCATTTGAGCTATTTATCCTTCTTACAATTGCTTTCTGCTTTATTCAGCTATTTTAGCTTTTTATGCTATTTCAGCTATATTTGGCTCCTTTTTACAGTTTTCTGCCTTTCTTTGCTTTTTATAGCTTTTCAATTGTAACTTACTCTTAAGTCTTTGCTATTAAACAAGTTCAGCTCAATTTCAGCTTCTTCAGCAGCTTTCAGCTCAAGTTTTCAGCAACAGGCATTCACACTAGCATTTTCYCAGGAAATGCACTTTCTCTAGTATTAGCTTCAGTTTATTAAAACTGCAGTTTAAAGCTGTWTGAAAGTGACGTCATTGTGTTCRTCTCAGGGAGGTGTTCAAAGCGAAACACCGGCAGACCGGAGAGAAGGTGGCTCTGAAGAAAGTTCTGATGGAGAACTGGAAAGAAGGGGTCAGAACAGAACCAGAACCKGTTTGTTTTTAACTCCAAGGTTGTAAACAGCATCGTTAGCTTTTTAAACTTTATTTTTCTCTTCGGTTGTCCTGGTCCAGTTCCAGATCACAGCTCTGAGAGAGATCAAGATCCTGCAGGKGTTAAAACATGAGAACYTGGTGAATCTGATCGAGATCTGCAGAACCGAAGGTTGGTACCAGAACCTTCGCCTGACAGGAAGGACTTGTTTTCAGGCTCTGTGATAACGATGGTTCTGGTTCTGGTTCTGAAGCCACACAGTTCAACAGGTACAAAGGTAGCATCTACCTGGTGTTTGAATTCTGTGAGCACGACCTGGCGGGGCTACTGAGCAATGCTAATGTCAAGTTCACGCTGCCCGAGATCAAGAAGGTCATGCAGATGCTGCTCAACAGCCTGTACTACATCCACATGAAGAAGGTGAGACCAGGACCTGCTAGAGTCCTCCAGGTCCCGCTAACATTTTTTAAGGCCCACTAGAGTCCTCCAGGACCAGCTAACTGTCCTTTAAGACCCGCTAGAGTCTTCCAGGACCAGCTAACTATCCTTTAAGACCCGCTAGAGTCCTCCAGGACCAGCTAACTGTCCTTTAAGACCCGCTAGAGTCCTCCAGGAGCAGCTAACTGTCCTTTAAGACCCGCTAGAGTCCTCCAGGACCAGCTAACTGTCCTTTAAGACCTGCTAGAGTCCTCCAGGACCAGCTAACTGTCCTTTAAGACCTGCTAGAGTCCTCCAGGACCAGCTAACCATCCTTTAAGACCTGCTAGAGTCCTCCAGGACCTGCTTACATTTTTTAAGACCCGCTAGAGTCCTCCAGGACCAGCTAACATTTTTTAAGACCTGCTAGAGTCCTCCAGGACCAGCTAACCATC